AAATCCCGGGAAGCCCCTGCAGTCCTATGTTGAAAAAGCTCTAGATTAATTGAAAGGGCATGGAAACATGCCTTAGTGTCTATCCCAGAAGCAAGAATCACTGAGAGCACAACGAAGAGTAAAGGAGTGCGACAACATACCTGGAATGCGTGCGGTCTTCGTTCGGCGCATTGCACAGCCGGCTCCTGCCAGTCGACCGGCTCCACCGCCGGTAGCTCGTGACGGGGTGAAAGACGGAGGGACATGACGAAGTTCCGCTGCGCCAAGAAAAGTCAAGCGAAGGGTCACAAGAGGTCACCAGAAAACGCATGGGCGCGGTCAAATGACCAGGCCTCATTGGATGGTCCCTCTCAAGAACAGAGAACGGGGACCGGACGGACAGGGACGCCTTCTAGAACTGGTCTGTTCCGATTAGTGTCAGAGTGTAAGAACTGAAGATAGATAGAGGTATCTAGTTACCAGCTCTCGAGACTGGATACACCAACTTGAAAGCAGCCTTCCGTCGTCGACACTCTGAGAGGGGTTGCTAACAAGCCGGGACTCACATCCGCGCAAGTAGAACCAGTTGTGGAACAGTCAGATTCGATCAAAGACAGACGCTCAGCCGCTTACAGACAAATCGACATCGAGAATACCATCCAACGGAATCACGGGCATACACGCTCATAACGCAACGCTTCTGCTGACACTGTTCTCACCATATGTTGAAAGGTCTCCGGCGGCAGTGGCAGCGGCAATTGTTAGAAGTCCGGTGCGTAAGGCAGCCGGGCATGCAAAGGGAGGTATAATCACCTCAGAAGCAGTTTGGGAAAGATGCATTATGAGATGCGTACAGAAGACTCTGCCTTTTTGAAAGCAGCTGAAGAGGTTTTCCATGCCGAGAACTGAGATTGAGTTTCGGTCTTTAGAATCAGGTTGAGACTCGCAGACGAGCACAAATAACCTGCGTTTTTGCTCAAGGAGCTACGGTGTAGTCGCAGCGAGTGTGGTTATTAGACCGTCCTTCCCACTACCACTTTCTAAAGTGGACTCTGACAGTTAATTTCCGTGATTGTGATCTGAAGATGAGCTACAGTGAACTAGCAATGGCAGCTGAATAGTAAGAGGTGTAACTTCTGCCTCAAGTTCTGGCATCCTACGTGGAGCTGAAGCGACAGAGGTCTCATCCTTAGCTCAGCCAGGCTGCCAATCAAGTAGCATGGTGTCTTGATTTTCTTTTGGTGAAGCTAACAACTCCGCCTGAAAGGACGACAGATCGTTGCTGGCGTTCTGTCGTCAGAAAGGAATTTACGCAGCCGGAGGCAACGTCAAGCGGACCACCTGTAAAAGCCAACACCTTTGATAAGCTTGGACGCCTATGTAGCTTTGTTTTTATTTCTTAGCCAATCGAGTTAGAAGGAGACATATTTCGTCATGTTTTGGGAAAGGCGAGCTAATTCTGTCCAAGGATCAGGAACTGCAAGACCTGTGCAAATAGATGGGGTTGGATGTCATCAGGACAGAAATTGGCCGAGCAGTGAGCCAGAACTGCCAGACTATGAAAAGTGCCAGATTTAAAGTGTCCCAATCTGGCGCTGCCAGGCAAGCTAAAGCCTCTTTAGATTATCTTTGATCTGCAGATATGAGGCGCTTCCTGCAATATGGAATAGGGTAGAATAGAAGCTGACTGACAGCATTCCAGTACAACTTGAAGGCACATCCAACGTGAACATGAAAAGAGGACCTGACAACGCTGATTGGTGTTGAAAATGTTTTCTGTCCTATCATCCTTTGCTTCATGTTCTCTCATTCTTTGCCTTCTAAGATCCTTGCACTTTTTCAGTGATCAGCAACCATCTCTCTTAAACCTGTGAAAGAGTGCCGTCCATGTCAACTTGACTCAGTTGGTGTTCTGTGCATAACTCAGAATCCGACAACCAAGATGCAAAGTTGTCAGAAAATGAAAATTCTGAGGGACGCGGTGTGAAGTTCGTTTTGACTACTTCAACTAATGATTCTGAATGAGTTAGCAAAGCGCGCGCGGTGCCTGCATGGCTCATGATACGAAGCAAGCTCAAGCATTTCTCACCCAAGCAGCTTAGAGTGCATAACTTAGAAATCTAGTCAATGTTGAAGCAAGCAATGCTTGCAGCTCACCTTTCTTGGGACGTCTGCTCCTTGGAAGCTCTCGACCTGCTGACACGACAAAGTGTTCTGCCATGAACAGCCTTGACATCTTTGCTTTGATCACGCTCCCCTTGGTATTGGTGTTCAAGCCTGGAGTTTAGATGCACCCAAAAGATCGCCTTGGAAGGAGCTGAAGCCAAGGGGAAGTCAAGACCTCGACGCCTGAGCATCCAGAAGCGAGGGTCTCAGCTGTATCATATGAAAATTGAATAATTGAAGTGGTCAAGATGCCGCTCAGCAGCTGCAATCACCGTTTCAGCTGATGATTTGTTGATCACTGGCTGTTGCAGTCTCCAAACTGCTCCAAACCCTAAACCTGGCCTCGAGTTTTTTCGAACTACCTGATAACAGCAGCGTTACAGCGCCGAAGCCGGGAAGGCCGGCTCGCTCGACAGGCGCTGCTTAAAGAAGGGTGTAACGCATGTAGCAAAAATAATCAGCAGATTTCATCCAGAACTGAACCCGGATGCTGGGACAACTTCTGAGCTGACAACGTTTCTGCTTTTGAAAGTTGAGCTTGAGCTCCGAGGAGCTGTGTGCAGCAGTGCTCCCGAAAGTCGCTGACACAGAGAGTTTCTTCAAAGATCAAGACTGAATACATATAAACTTGAGGAATTCTTGAAAGTTTCGAGGGCGTGCACACCGTTTGCATCAACCTATGCAGAAGGACTAACAGAATGACAGCAGCTGATGCATCTTGACCCTGGCATCCCCACAATTGGCAACTTTGGCTGACGGCTGACGGTTGACATGAGCGCTCTGCCCTGGACTACAAGTTACACCTGTTACACATGCTTCTCTGAGCTGCTACGTTAATTTTGGTGAGCCGGTGCAAGGCCTCGTTCATCAGTGGAGCGCTGGCAATGATGCTCCATGCTCGCCGACTTCACCCAGTGGTCAGTTTTCAGCATCGCCAGCGCTAGCGGCAGTGCCTGCTGATCAGGTGGTGGTAGATGAAGTTGCAAGAGTCAGAGTCTCTTATTATGTAAGTTCTCCTCTCTGTGCAAACTCTGAAAAGGACTCTTGTTCTAGTCTGTGGCTTTGCCTTGAGCCTTGCTTTGGAGGTAGCTCTGGAACATTTGGATAGGACATCCAATATCGCTGAGAATGTTGGTTGTGCAATATGCAAGGGAATATCTTCAAACAATCCTGATTGGCTGTTCTGGTAGGAATCTGGCCATATAGAGAGCATGACCGCTGGACCTGGTCACCTTTCAATTGCAGGAAAAGCCTTTGCCCGGAAGACGATGCAAGTCAGTATCCAGCAAGGTCCTGCTGTGGTGAATCAAAGGCTGCATGGCCTCAGAACTGGTATTTAGTTCTGCCATGTACTTGACGTTGTGCTCATTTCGTTTTCAACCCGTTGTATTCAGCAACAGCTTTGTTCGTGGAAGAGAAGAGGTTCGCTGCAATGATCCCTCCTGGAGACTGCTATCTTTTAGGAGTCTCGAGTTTGTCTTTTGATTTATGATGCTGCTTTGATTGACCTTTATTAGATCCCTACTACCCCAGAATGTTCTGGTGCTCTTTGGTCA